GCCGAATGAAATTTTAATTTTTGATAAGGCGCTCCCATCCGAACCTCATCCCTTCGCGACGACTTTCTCCGTTCCTCCTACGCGGCGTTCATCTCCCGTCTTCGTCGCTGTTTCTTACCGGCTAACGCCAGTTTGGTGATATTAAATATCACTGAAAGAAGCGTGCGAAGGATGAGGTGGAAGAGATATTTGGCAGACCAGAGATGTACGTATAACTCCCTTGAATGTTTAAAGACGGCCTGCGGGGCAAGGTGCATCGACTCGCTCTGGTTACGCGAAAGAAACAGGCAACCCCCCCGCTGCTGGCTTCTCGATCCCACTACAGCGCTCGAACGGCGAACAAATGGGAACGCGGAGCCCGAATGTGGCGCAAAGCTATGCAAAGTTTGCGCGGGAATTAATTGCCAAAGCTATCCGAAGATAAAGTGCATTTAATTAAAGGAATGATCAACAATCCCTTGGGCGACTAGTGCTTTTAATGAACAAACTTCTCGGCGTGTACCGCCGGCCTGTAACAACTACCAAGATTTGCATAACATTTTTCCGAGTTAATGAACTTCCGCCAGGTATAAAATATTCGTTTGGCCGATGTTCCCTGTCCGCTAGCTTTATACCCATTTTCACCCCCAAAAGAAACGGGTTGCGCGTCCGTATAATATCATCCTTCATGATCCCGCGACTCATCCCCCGGCGTCGTCCGTGCGGGCCGAGATTTTAATCAGCAGGGAAATGCGAGTGTGTAGGTAGTCGGCAGTGCGAAAATGAGTTCTAACTCCAGACACGTCGAGGAGTAAGAAAATACGGCGGGACGTCGGCTGCGGGGACGTGCGTTGACAATGAACGACGGTGCATCCTTCAATTATCCTTCGATGTATTCCTTCAGTCACTCGCGCGTAATGAACCGCTCTTAATAAGACGCCCCGACGTGGCGCGCGGCACGTCACGAGCGTCTAACGACAAACAGAATTTCATAACGCGGCTGAACTCTCGCGAGCGTGCCGTCTTCACCGCGCAACCCCCATCGACTGTGCGCCCGACAGCTATCGGTGTCGCGCTCCCGACCGAAAATTCTAATCAGCGCGGAACCATCAGTCTGGTTGTCGCTACCGACACGGTTGCGGTTCCGCGACGGTACTAGCTGCCGCGAGGAAAGAGCGCGCACGAAGCGAGATCCGTTGGCCGGATAGAGGCGGAGTGACGGGAGGATATGGCGCAGACAAAAGGAAGGAGGGTTGCATTCGGGCACGCGAGGAGGTGGGCAGGAGGATTATCCTTTCTATGGTATGCGCGGATACGCATATGCCGCACGTACGAAACCAAAATACTACAGGGGAGTGGCGAGGTGAGGCGAGGCGAAACGACGTGACGGGGAGGGGTGGTGACGGCAGAAAACAGAGGGGTGGGAGAGGATGCGTTACGTCATGTGTGAAATTACAATCACCCACCCCTAATGCGCTCGCCTTGGCTCACCCCATTCTGTCCGGACGGGATGCTGGTAATACTGGTATGGTGGTGCGCGCGCGCACGGACATGTCTGTACATACCCCTTCGTTACGACTATTTCTATAAGTACGTGTTATTATAACACAGAGACGGGTTAACGGGTCCACGTGCGGTGTATCCTTATGTAACACATCGACGAGGATCGGTGGTCGTTTGGTATTCCGGGTGTCGGGGGTTCATAGCCGGTGCGCGCGATAATGAGCACAGTGTCCAACGACGGTGCGGTGTGCACCGGAACGATGGGGAGAGGTCCGGTGCATCGGCCCTGAAGAACCTTTGGTAAACTTTGACGTGTAAACCGGCCGAGGCGACCCCGATCAACGCGGCTCGCTTGCACGGGCCGGTCGGGGCTAGTCGTCGCCGCCGCCGCCGCCGCCGGCTCGAAAATATAATCGTTTAATGTCCGTACACGCTTTCACGCTATGAACCGCGCGGCTGAACCTAATAAATTGATATACCCGCGCGACACAATGGTTGTTAATTTCCTGTCAGGCGCAGCGGCACGTTAATTAATTTTATGCAACTTTAATGTACCCGCGTGTCGAGTTTATATAACGCTCATGTTTTCGACGGCCGAGGAATTCTTAGGCGTTTTATAGCCGTGGCGGGTTAATACTCCGCAAATTACCCACGACAAACAAGCCTGTTGTGACGCGCACTGGAAACTGTGTTAGGGGTGCGCATCGCTCGACGCGTGCGAAGGTTTTCCTTTTTTCCCCTATTGCCGGCGAGTTTCCAATGGAAGCGAATTGTTTTTTGCGGTAATGAGAAGAATTGGGGATGGCGGAGTTAAATATTGTAGGCGGTACGTGACGGATAGGGTTATTTTTACGTAGACGTAAAGGGGTTATACTCGAGTTGTTGAAAGCCGAGCTGTGAGGGTGAATTTGCAGAGGTTTTTTGTTGGATCATCGACTGATATTGGGGTCACTGATCAAGGAGGAAGCGTTCAATATTACATTAGCCGATTTCAGACGGACGTTTGCCTGATAACGAATTCCCGTTCGTGGCAACGGCGGTCAGCTCGAATGAGATGAATAAATATTAGAGAGACAGGAGTACTCGAGGGATACGCGTGATTTAAAGAGGTTCATGCCACTGAGTGTTTTAATAAATAAACGGCCACCCGAGGCCACGGTACGCAAAATTACACGGGAAATTGAATTTTTCTCAAGGTAATCGTTTCCGTCTGACTTAGCAGTCGGAATAATTAACAAATAGAAGATCGCGCGATATTTGTAAACGCTACGGTCACCTCGTCGCATTTAATTCGAAATGGCGAAGACGCCGGCGCGCAAGGAAAAACGCGATCCAATTGTTCTCTTCTACCTCTTTCTCCTGCCTTTTATCTCCGAACGATGAAATAAATGAAGTAATTCTTTTTGAATATCACGAAGCTACTATTAATCCTGATACAAAGGTATTGAATGAAATGAACTGCCCAAGACAGCATTGTCTTTTGAAAATGAAAAATGTAATTTCCTTCAAGAACAAACGACTGTATCGATGGTATCTTGCAGTACTTTACAGAACAGAATTTCCAATTCTAACTGAAGTTATTTAAAGTTATTTCAAACTAAAATTACAATTTGTCATACCCTTGTTAGCTAAAGAAACAAATCAAATATATCAATCAAACGATTCAAAATACATCGCTTTATATTACCATAAATACCATTTTATAATTATTGCGACAATAATTCAATCATTCATTCCTATCCGTTCCGTTAAAAAGACAAAGCCCATTGTCCATGTAACAAGCGATCAAATATTTTCAAGAGCACGAGTCTATAGCGGGGAACCGTTCAATAAATATCATACGTTTTATCTCGCCGTATGATGAAGTTCGAATGTGTCGCTATTTAACCCCGCGGCGTTCCATTCGCAATTGAGTTTGCTTAGCGGGTCGAGCGATACGGATTATCGCGGGCGACACCCCGGCCGTTGCGCGTTTCAACAAAAACAGGAAACGGAATTGATACATTCGAAAGACCATAAGATAAACAGTAAATTGCAGACGCGCGTAGCAGCTGGTATTGATTTTTGCTATAGTGTCGTAGAAGCGCGGGCCACGAGGCCGCGATTCACTTTTACACAAGCTCACCCCCTCCGCCCCGCCGTCCACCTGGCCAAGTACACAAACACCAGGCTCGTGCCACGCTTCCCTAAACCCATTGTCTATTATAATCATTAACGGGATTCCGATTATCCGGGGGAACGCCTGACCACTGCGCACGTAAGCTTTTCAGTTTTCGGAGTGTTGCCGCTTTTATCGAGTTTTGCTCGCCAGCCTATTGTCGCGACACCGTGTTGCGTCCGAATTGTACGTTCCAATTGTAATTCGATAATGGCGGCATACGGGCCCGTTATGACTGCGTCGCACACGAGCTGTGGCCAAATTCTAGTAATTAATATGAAATTATTTAAAGGCACTCACCAATCGACGTCCACCGTCACGCGTTCTGCTGGAAGACTGATGTTTCATTTATAATAACTCTGAAATGTCCCCATATGTTACATCGACGTCCCGGTCCCCCGTGCGGCCAAGTTTTTGGTTATCCAACGTGCAACTATATGCAAGACACCCGGTACCGCGAGCAACTTTCTATTGGACGTGATGAACATTACGTTTAATATTATTTACGTTACTCGAATAAGAGGTTATGTTTACTTTAGTCGTTAAACAATGTTCCTGTGTGCTTACCTTTGTTTAAACAATAAATACAACGCAACCAAATCGCACGATACCGGTCTCCTCCTTACAGCGCAGCCGCCATTGCCCAAGACCGTTGACGTAGCTAGTCGTTGAGAGACTAGATATGTGCATTCCCTCTGTAAATAATCTAACAAACAAATATAAAACTGATATGGAATATCTAAATAATTAATTCTACGATTTTGTACAAGATCCTTTCCAATTATTTCCTCTTTCAATTTTCATCGATTTAAATTTTGACTCACTTTTGACTAGTTCAAACGTAGACGTTAGAAGCTCCAGACGGTACCAGTCCAGGTGATACATTTACCGATTTTCCACAATAAATACTGTTAAACAATACAATACAACTTATAAATCGTATTAAACGTAGCTCGCAGCTTGGTTTTCAAAAACCGAATCATCGGCAGCGCCTGCAAGTAACGGGCAGTGCGGTTCGAACTGGCGCCAATTCGGAAGCTCGAAGCGTAGTTACTTAAACGAGCGTTAAAGGCAGCGGTAATTAACGAGTGGTCATTGCCGCGTGAAAGGTGAACACGTCGGGATCGGCAGGTAGAAATTTTGGAAGATCGTTCCGATAGTTGTTACGCGGAGCAGTGCCGTGCGGCGGGGAGGGGGATCGGCGGAGGGTAATCGTGGAAATTAGCGAACAGCAGGTTGGTCGAAATACCGACATACCCCGAGTCCGACAGTTGGTGGGAGGATCGGAGGGGGTGGCCAATAGCGTTTGCGCGGGAGAAAGGCACGAAACGGGGGACAGATTCGTGGGGGGATCGTAGGAACGCGGTCGCATCGTCGCCTGGCAGCGCCGCGACGCCCTCGAGGCGAACTAGACGTTCCGCTCTGCGCTCGTCACCGAGGCATTTCGGCGTTTCTAACCTTGTCCTGGCGCTGTGTGTCGCTCCCTTCGTTTTCGCACCGTGTAACGGTACAGTGTCGCACGTATTCATTCTCGCTCCACTATCACGCGCCCGTCACCCCCCACGTTCTCGCGTGTTGCGGCACGGGTGAACCGTTCGAACCGTGAACCGAGAAGAGACAATAGAAGAATCAGCTGACACATCGCAGACTTTCTTCGAATAACCGTCGGAGAAAACGCTCCCGCCTCGCGCACACGGTAAGTAGGCTGTCCGCTCTTTTCTTTTCCCCGTTTCGTTCTCCCGCGGCCCGACTAGTTCGAAGGATGAGCCGCGTCGCCCGCGGCCGTTTCAAAATCGCTGTCACCCGCGTCCCGTGTTCCCGGGACGTTCGAAACTCGCGTTCCACTGGCTCGAATTGGCTCGTTCTATAGGTCCATTCGCGTGCCGAGCGGCCGTTTCGCGCGAAAATTTTTAAGGGCAAATGTTACGGCCGCCGAAGCGTCACGGACGTCGTATCGACGAACGGTCTCTTTTTTTATTCCCCGCGGTTTTTACGCGCCTCCCGCACGAAATGTCGTCGCGTTCCGTTTATCGTCCCGATGCGGCAGTCCTATTAATTTTTAATCGCGCGCGAAACCTACCGCGATACAAGTTAATTCCTCGCGTCGCTCGTGTCCTGTGGAAAGGTGAGATGAGTTCCTGTTAGGGTCGACATTATCTTACCCCGGGTCGCTCACTATTTTTATGGCTTGCAAAAATAAAAATTTATTTTCTCTCCGGGAGAGCCACGGTGATTTTATTGTGCCCGCGAGTGGCGTAGATACTTTGATAACGGGCATGTTAGTTTCCGCGTTTTTCAACGGGTTTTTAAGATTGTTCTCCATTGTTAGCCATGTATGCGACGACGCAACGTTTCGCTGGCTCCGTGGTAACTTCCGGTGAATTTTGAACCGGACGCCATTAAATTTTGTTACGCAGTCCCGTGATCGTTGAATATTTCACGCAGACGCGTCGCGCGATGCACGGTTATTAAACAATGAGTTTATTTCGTGGTAGACGGTTTTATATATTCGCTGGTTAATTTAAACAATTTTAGGGCGCTGCTTGTGCATTTTGTGACACACTTTCCGACTCACCCCCGCCGAGGTCAATATCTTAATTTCCGTCCTTGACACGGTTAATTCGGCCCCGATAGTCGATAAGATAAGCTGACTAGCGCCGCGAGGACACGCCGCTCGCGCGAGTCCCGAGACGCGGATCCCAAGCGGGGTGCCTAGAGAATTTTATATATTTTCATTGCGGCAGGTCGATACTCGGAAGTGGCTGCAGTTGTTCTCGCGTAGGGACGAGTCCTACTCGGAAACCGTGGGAGGGCCGAGGGTGGAAATAAATTGTTGAACGCGTCGATCAGGCCCCGATCGATCGGCAGGGATGATGTTCGAGGATCGCGGAAGGGGATCGGGATAAAGGTCAGCTAACCACGCGCGCTCGGTTTTCCTTACCTTCTTCCGGCTCCGAAAGTTTTTACGCAGTGCAGTACAACTTCGTGAACGTGATTCCCGTTGATTCTCGCTTCTGGCCGACGAATCGACACGTATCCCGTGAAAATCGTGCACCATCGATCGATCGGTTTCTCGAACTCGCGATACCCTCAGCCGATCGACGCTCAACTAGCCACTCGCGCGCGCGGCTACGTTAAATAAATCGTTTAGAAAATGACTCTAATGACGATCGCGGCGCCGACAAAGGGTTAAGGGACGACAAAGGGAGCAGAACCACAGTTTCGCGTCCCGGCTCGGCGGACCTCTTTCCTTTTCTGCTTTCTCTCTTTCATTCTCCCGTTCCCATTCTCCCGAAGCGTCGAACGTGTCTCCCGCACGAACGTCCGAACCGCTCTACGCGCATTATTTTTTCGCTTCCACCCTTCTCGTACTCCTTCTCTCGTTTCTCGCCCCCATTCCACCCTACTCTCGTTTTTTTTCTTCGTTACCTTCTTTACGCCGCGCCGCGGGGAGAAAGAGACTGGCCACGGATGTTTTTTCTTCCCTCGATCTCCCCTTGTTTCTTGCCACCCCCTGTGCCACGCCGCTCTCGCGCGTCCTGTCTTCTTTCCTCCAGGCTTTTCCTTTGTCTCCCTGGAAACCTTGCGGTAGTTATGCGACGTTCGGCCCAGCCGCTTGGCTGGTGGGGTCGGAAAAAGGGGAAGGGGGTGACTC